ACTCGCCCGCAGCGCCGCCTCAGCTTCACTGATGCTGCCGCGCCAGTGGACCGTCACTTGGCAGCTGAGCAAAGATTCCAAGAGCTGAAACATGTCGGCATTTTGTCTCGGGGTGCAGCCCAAGAAGAAGGACCCACTCGTAGCCTGACCGACTACCTCTTTGTGCCCGTGCTGCCCAGTGCGCACATTCAGAACGAAGAAGGGGACATCCGCGCCGGCCAAAAGCCATCCAGCGGCTTCTTTGAACTTCCGGACTAACGCCGCCTTACTGGTCAGCAACAACACTCGGGGCAAGAACTGTGGGGCGTTGAGTTGGACAGCGTGGGAGACAGCCTGATTGTGCCCGTGCTTCCCACCTCGATTGGTGCGGGGGGCGAAGCCAATGCATTCCATCCCCGTGCGGTTGCCAAGGCCAAGGCATTGGGCGGTGCACGCTCGATCGGTATCCAACAAGTTGGTCATATGTCGCCATCCGACTAGAGCGACTAACAACCAAGTCCGCGGCTTGTGCCTTTGAGTTTCCAGCTTGATAGTACGGTTGGGTGTCTGCCTAATATCACTACATAGTACAAGTGAAGTTTATCTCGTTTGTGATTGAGTGCTGTCCTGTTAGAGGTAATGAGTTGGGCCGATGGACATTGCTGTGGACATCATTTCACGCACAGATGCAGTACCTAGCTAGTATTTGAGCTTCCCCATACCAACTTGGTGGCGTTGCTTCGATGCAGCCAGCCTTTTTCACCACAAGGATCAATAGGGATACACATATTGATGGAAATAGTTGCATTGTGGGCTCAAACATCAAATTATCATAAAAGTGCATCAAATTATCATAAAAGTGCATCAAATTATCATAAAGTGCAAGGTGGACGTTGGGGCTACCGTTGACTGATCTGGAGTTTGATATAAATATCATGCACAAGTGAAAGCAGCAGAGTGCCCACATTGCACTTTCACAAGGAAATTGACAATATCAGTTCAATTCAATTCATCAACGTGTTGCAGTGCAATGCAATAAGGCCATGGCACCGCACAACCCGTATCTCGAAGGCCTCATCAACACTGCAATATGGAGAATCCATCGAGACTGTTTTCGATCTTGTTGCCTGATTGTGCCTGAAATCACCAAAATATAAACAAAACCATATTTTAAGGTTAAACCGTGCACCATACATATACCGTCCCTCCTATACCATGAGTGGAAATCGAAGTAAATGAAGGCTAAGCTGAAGTTTATTCAAGCCCATTAAATACTCAGAATGCCCAACCTTTCGGCTTCATCGCAGCACTTTTCAGAATTGAAATCCCGTTCCTAAGAGACGATTAAGCTGTATTCTACAACAAGGTCGCACTATAAATTGGCCATCTACGTTAGCCAATACAGTATTTGAACTGCCCCATACCAACTCGGTGGATTGCTTCGATGCAGCCAGCCTTTTTCACCACAAGGATCAATAGGGATACACACATTGCTAACAATACTCTAGGCGCGGTATCATTGGCTTGCGCATTTTATATCCATTGGTGGTAAGAGTTGCTGTAGCCAATTCTCGTCAAAGTGCAATGTGGGCTGATTTGTGACTGCGATGGAGTTTGATATGCAATTACAAACGAAACTGATGGCGAACGAGATTGCTGTACTGTACATTAAAAAACCCCAACCCTCAACGCTGTCTACGACCTCACATGATCAAATTCTGAGTGTTCCGAGTTTACCATTCCGACGTTTCTGACTTTACTTTGGTAGGTTGTCCCTGTGAGCTCAGTTCGTTGAAGCTTTGAGTGCAACTGTGGATGATATGTGAATGGACGAACAAGCAAGATGCAACCAAACGATGGCAATAACCCAAATGAGGATTAGACTTGACACTTGCTCTCCACTTTAAACGAATAAGGAACACCTCAAACACGTGCGTTCAAGTTTGTCGATTCTGCTCTAATGTCGTTTAGAACTCATGGCGGTATTTACGTTTCATAACAAAATCCAGGCCAGCTTACGTTGCAATTTCGTCATAATGTGCACCTCAAGAATACCAGTTCAGTTCAATCCTTCTCGTTATTGCGATGCAATGCAATCAAGTCACCCAACCCCCATCAATACTGCAAGATGGAGAAACCATCGAGACTATTTTCCACATGTAGCCTGATAGCTCATTGTGCCTTTTTCGCTCTACCCTCCAACCCTCAAGTATGAAAGTGTTCGTTGCCCTTGCCGCCATGGCTGCTGTTGCCAGCGCAGCCAGCTTTCGTGTTGCTTCCGCGCCAGTGGACCGTCACTTGACAGCTGAGCAACAATACCGCGCCGAGAAATTTGTCGGCCTTCTCTATCGGGGTGCAGCCCAAGAAGAAGGACCCACCCGCCGCCTCAAGGAAGAAGGCGAAAACGACGTTGTCGCTGCGGGTGCTGCTCCAGAAGAAGAATACCGCCACCTGGAAGCCCAGCAAGACAAGGAGAGCGAAGTTCGTGGAGCTACTCGCCCGCAGCGCCGCCTCAGCTTCACTGATGCTGCCGCGCCAGTGGACCGTCACTTGGCAGCTGAGCAAAGATTCCAAGAGCTGAAACATGTCGGCATTTTGTCTCGGGGTGCAGCCCAAGAAGAAGGACCCACTCGTAGCCTGACCGACTACCTCTTTGTGCCCGTGCTGCCCAGTGCGCACATTCAGAACGAAGAAGGGGACATCCGCGCCGGCCAAAAGCCAACCGGCGGCTTCTTTGAACTTCCGGCCGAGTTTCGATCGGCCAACAAGCACACCCCCAAACAACCAAATGCGCACTCGGCAGAAGGCCCTCCGAAACGCACAGCTCGAACCCCCAAGTCCAGTGGAGCTGCAACGGATACGCACGAGCTTCCGCACGGTGCATCCGTTGGAGTGGACTCCGTAATCTTGGACGGACCCAGCCGTCGCCTTGCTGGTCAGCAACAGCATGCCGGGCAAGATCTGTTCACTGTTGGGTTGGATACCTTGAGAGACTTCCTCTTTGTGCCCGTGCTCCCGTACTCGATTGGTGCGGACGAAGCCAAGGCGGAGCCAACACCGTCGGACGATGCTGGCGCGGTCGGCATCCAACAAGTTGGTCATGAATCGCCATCCGACTAGACCGACAACCACGACGACCGTGGCGTGTGGATCGCCATCTGTTCATTTTCCATTTGTGTCTCGAAAAGTTGATTTAGTTCATTGGGGTGTGATGTCTGCCTAATAACATTTCAAGTGAACTTTAGTCTCGTTTGTATAGCCCGGGTTAAGCAGCAATATGTAGAACAAGTACACCACAACACAGCTTTTAAGGGGCCAACTTAAAAGGCATACAAACCTCGAATTCCAGCTTTCGTGTACTTTGCAGTCCACGATCAAAGATTGTATGTGACGTTTGGGATGATATATTGAACTAACTGTAAACTGCAGCTGACAAACAATTCAATCCTCACTGGCTCGCTACGTCGAAATGAAGGCATAGTTGCAGCACGGCGGTGACAAGAGTAGGTAGTGAACACTTTCATTCTTGGATGCCGTTGCGTGCTCAGTTCGATGAAACCCTGAGTAAACCTGAGGTAGACATGTGAATGGACGGACGAGAGAGTAGTGAAAGGCCACTAAACGAATACAACAACGCAAGGATAGACACCTGCTGTCCAATGGATCTATTCACCTTCGATCAACTTTGTGAACCACCACACGAACCCCCGATAGGACCAACAACGGGGAGTTGAGTGTGAGACCGTACTGTGCAGCTGTAGCTCTCCAGAGCTGCGCCGTCGTTTGTGCAAATAGAACATCGCAATGCTCCTCGAGTATTGCTCCTACAAAAGCTCTGCCTGGCTTATCAGCAAGACAGGGAGGACGTAGCTCGTGGGTCACTCGCCCGCAGCGCCACGACTTGTGTTGCTGCCGCGCCACGACTTGTGTTGCTGCCGCGCCAGCTAAGCGTCTCACTTGATAGCTGAGAAACAAGTTTGAACTTCCGGACGAGGTTCGAGCACACAAGTCGAAGCAACCCCCCAATTCACGCTTTGCCGAGGGACCACCGAAATATGCAGCTCGAACCCCCAAGCCCAGTGGGGTGGGTATGGAAACCTACGAGCTTGAGTATGTGGCATCCGTTGGAGCGGTGGACTCCATTGTATTATACGAGCCCAGCCGTCGTTTCGCTGGCCAACAACAACACCATGGGCCAGAACTGTTGGGTTGAAGTATACTGGAGTAAGGTCTTCAATTCAACCAAGCTTTCGTTCACGTTGGGTGCCGTCAAAGGCAAGTCTTCCCATCCTATTTTGGAACCTAAGTCGACGGGCGGGTAGGTGCGATCGGGATGCAAGACCTTGGTTGTAACAGCAAATCCGGCTACGGGTAGATCGAAAACCCAGTTCGTGGTGATCGCCGTTTGGTTACATTGCAAGCTGGAGTTTCCATAACATGATGTAGTTGGGTAGTGAGGCAGCTTACGTCAATGGTCCAGTCGTCTTGCCGCCCTCCGCCGACACTGGCACTCTTTCATGCCGATGCAAAATATCGGCGATATATTTCACTCAACCTCTGTTATAATTCACCCAACCAACGGTTAATTCCAACTTTCGAAAATATAATTCACCTAACAACTGTTATAATTCGGGCTGGGATTCTAGAAAGATTTTTGAATCTGCGCTCTATGGAAGAGGCCATCCCTGCACCACAAACTCCGGTACGTCTCTCTGTTGACCACTAACATGGCGTGTCAAGACGCTTCGTTCTTAAAACTAGGGCCGTACTCCCCCATGTTGAACCCGATCGAGAATATGTGGCCGGCGTTGACGAGCCGCATTAAGACATCTTTGCGCGAACGAATCGTGGCCTTTATGGAGCCACCGCCAGACGGACAGACTCGTAATGTGTTTCGCATGCAAAACTTGTAACACACAGCTGACGAGGCAATTGCAGCTATTCATTGCATTTATATCGTATTTAACTGAACAATGAATATAGGAATTGAGCCGAATCGTTTGCATGTGTACATGGCCCGCCTTGAGCCGTTTTATGTCCGTGCTGAAAACATGGAAGACATGGACGTTGGTGCTTGAGCCGTAGATGTCGTAGATATGTTGCGTGGGTTGGTTTTAATTTACTTTCCATGAAATAAACCGGTGAAATTAAGCGTTGGTTATATAATGGCCAAATTTCCATTCGGCGTGAAATATAATGGGGGTTGGGTGAATTATATTGGCGATTCGGTGAAGTATATCGGAGGTTAGTGGAAATATTGTGAAAAAAAGCTGAAATTAAACGCAAAATGGTGTAGCACTACGTAGTAGTGTACTTCTTTACATTGAGTGACCAAAGTGCGATGTATTCGTACACATGAGTGTATATGTTTTGTTTGGGGGGCACGGGGGTCGGTCGTTGGCGAGCAAGGACCGAGGTATGTAAGCCTGACGAATTACTTGGTTTGCAAAGCAATGTGCTGTAATCCTCCGTGTTATATATACTACAATACGTTTCTGTAAGCACTCCCCAACATACATCACTTGGTCGTTGTATTGAAATCGACGAGACTCCCGCTAATGAAAGCTAAGAGGCTCCCATTTTATATCCAATCAGGTATTGTCGGATATATTTCTCGCACCAACCACTTTAATTAACTGATTTATATTAATACGTCTATAATCTTGTATTGGTTGGCCCATTGCCGTCGCAATGGGTAAATTGTAACAATGGAGAATTGGCCAGCTGAACCGTGTTCGAAGACTGTCATGTGTCATTCTCGAGCGACTTGAACAAGTGCCGGTGTGGCAGCCCAATTTCGATGATCGTTGCATTGTCCACAGGAGTGTACCCGAGTTTGAGGTAAAATGGGATGGCTGTTTCCCGCGCATGGAGGTGGATGCTGTGGAACCCCTCGTAGATCGCCCGAGTCTGAAACGCTTCCATCAAGATACGACCGAGTCCTTGGCCTTGTAGCGCAGGACTGACCGCCACTTGCTTCATCCAAGCGATGGGATGTGCAGGCCGTAGCAAGGCGTATGCGACCAACGAGTCTGCAGAGAACACTCCCACGTGGATGTCAGAGGTCTCTTTGGCCACCACATCTCGATCTAACCGCATGCCCAATGGCTTGCGGAGGACCTCCTCGCGCAAGACAAGCGCCGCCGCATACGCACTGGACCCATGTTCGATGTCACGCACTTCCATGCTGATCGCAAAAAAAGTGAGTTGACCGACATTCCGATGAATATAATTTCAAAATATAAAAAAACATGAAGTGATATCTGAAATTTATGCTCAAAACGGAATTATTCTGAAACAAAAAAGTCTTGTTAATGGAATTTGCAAGGTGAGCCACCTTGCACATTTTTAATATCCAATCAGAGTCCATCACGTCTTGTTTCTTACACACGGTTTTCGTGATTTCACGGCATCTGATTGGACAAATTGGACAAATTTGAATTCGCAAGATGCCCTGCCTTGCGAATTCCAAAAACTGACCGACACATGAAAAATAAAAATCAACAATGCATAGTTTCATTTTCTAATAATTTAATTTGAGCCAGGCTATCATAATATTTCTGTCTGTAGTTGATATTATCTCCTGTATCAAGTAATCCTTTGTTCAGTTGTGTTATTGTGAATTCGGCCCAAATTTGCTGAAACAGCACCATTCAGCCCACTAAATTGAAATGATTCTCAAATGAATCCAGGACAGTTATTGGTCAAACCAAACACATTTTTCGGCAAATCATTTTGGTCTTGGTGTGGGGGAGCATTTTGCATCATGGAGGCTGCAGGCAGCCACACGACAACATGCCCATCCGAACACTGTCTACCATTGTCTTTACGGGTACTATCCCCTCGGGTAGGGTTGCACCGACGGGGTCTGACTTTCGACGCGATGAGCTGCAGTACGAACGCGCAGCGGATATGGCGACACTCGGTTGTGCACAACTGGCTGTGCAGGAGTTTGGACAATGCCTGGGCTTTCTTGGAGAGATCTGCGGAAGGGTGATTGAGATGAAGCGGAGTGACGCCAGGAAGCTCCTTCACTGGGTGACTGCGTCGGCGTGACATGTGAACTCCCCTGTGGCGTGATCGACCATTTGGCGTTTGGAGGCGCTCAGAAACCTTTTCACACATCATAATTATAGGTTTTCACAGGAAGTTTCATTCGTGGCGCGATTTCTCCGTCGCGATTCAACGAATCGCGCTCGGAAATTTTGAGTAGAACTCACAATACCATTTTCAATATTAAGGAATTTTATTCGATCAGAAGACCATTGAGACGTATCAACTCTGAAATTTGTTAAGGTAAACACATAACGGTAAGGATATCTGCATTTACCACCATCGTATTTACCTGAATATATTGCTCCAGAGCACCATAATTAATATATATAATTAATACTAGTATAAGCTGTACCCTGTCTGCCGGTAGGTACATCCAAAATAATTACAGTTGGAATATTGCCCTTATCCATTTGTGTCTTAATTTGATTAAAAATGTTGTCTTTTTTACCATCTGCTACAATAACATTGTAATCCAAATCTAACTTATCGCAGAAGAATGATTTACCAATATTACCAGATATTTGATAAGAGTGTTGTTTTTACGCTTATCTTTGATAATATAAATAGTTCGTTTATCAGCAGGTTTATTACAAATATCTAAAATTGTCTGTTGAAATGGCTTCCATTTGATATTTTCAAATTGCTAATCCAAATCATTATACATCGCATTAGTGTACCACGTATTAATTACAGTAATCATTTGTTGAGATAGAAATTCTTGAGGATAATGCTTAAAAGAATTGCTCTTTAGTCAGATCTTTTTTTTTCAATTCATCTACGTTAATACTGGCATCATCAAAGATCTTTTTCAAATGATTTATATAAAAAAAAATATTTCGCTTGTCATCTTCATTCAAAACTAGATCATGATTCTTCGTAAAAGAGGAATATAATAGGAAATTTTCAAGGTTGAACTTTTGTTTTGACGACAGCAGTTACAGACGAAACTAAACGAGTTGCATCAATTACAGTTGTCCAAATAAGACAAAATTGTACTGGACGACCAACTTGCCACATCAATGGGAGGGTAGTACATATTCAACGTAGCCCTCCTCGATTCGAGCAAGCCATTTTGCAACCACAACTCAACAGGATGAACGTGCTGCTTGCATTTGCCGCCTTGTCTACTTCTACCGTGTCGTCACTTCGAGGCAATCGCCAGCCCCGAGGCATTCGGCCAATCGACCGAGTGCTATTGCAAAACCAATTCGACTCCAATCCACAAGCGTTGGTGTTACAACGTGGCGATGGTGCTTGGTTAGACTTGTTGGAGCCACCGAGCGCTGCGTGGCCCTGTAGAAGGAATTGTGGACGAAGAACAAGGTAGCTACGGCTACGGGCGCAAACCTACTGTGTAGACCTGAGCGTCGATGGAATGAAATACCAGTACCTTACGCAGTTTCATGCATAGCGATGTACTACTGTACAAGGCCAGTTTAAAACTAACAGTTTATGACAATAAATTGTGGTTGAGAGTTGGAAACTTGTTACTAGTTTTGAGCCAACCATACATACGATACTGAAGTATGTCTATCCATCGAGTTAGGACACTATCCAAAGATTTGTAGCAGTAGCGTTGATTACAATAATACTACCCATTCTGAACTTTCGTTCAATACAGTACAGTTCGTGGTTAGAAAGCTGAGTCGAACAATGCAGTGTAGTAGTACCTTCGCACTTCGGAGTACTACATATTAAATCACAGTAAGGTACTAAAACTCGAAGGAACCTCTCGTCCCTCAAAGGCAATGTCACAACGTAGATCGTACAATTTGTTGCAGCAAAGTTCAATGTGCAATGTGCAACCGTAATACATACATTCAACGACACAACCAACAACGCATGATTATATTGCATCATTTGCCATTTTCGGTTCTACCAGCCAGTAATGAAAATTGAAAGTGTATTGAATGCGCTAGCTAGTCCCATGGCGCCAGTCGTCCGCAGTGACGACCCCAACCACCCTTGTCGATTACCAGAATCCAACTCTGCAAATCCTACAAACGAAACGAAAGCGAAGGCCACCAGCCCATCGTTGGTTGGACGACAAGACGAGTGGCCAACACTAGACAAACCGCCCACGTATACACCGTCCATTCTTGACCACCACGACAATAACGGTCAACAATAATACATTATCTGGCATGGATGGCCGTCGTCGTCGTCGTTGTGTGCTTATGATATCTACAGTATTCGATCAGTAGACTTTCAAGATTTCGAGCAAAGCACACCACGTAAGGAAACAAATCCTCGCTTCAGCAGTTGGAAAGATCAGTAAGAGCACGATCTTGTTGACGCTCATACGAATGTCGAGCTCCATTAGGGGTTACGGATGCTACGAGCCACACAACCAACATGTGTACACCTATCGTAGGGGGGGGGGGTACAAGTTGAGAGATGACGACATTGAACCACTAGTACGTTTCTTCGTAACGTCGCCAGTAATGTTTGTCCCGTGTGAACCCTAGTCCTCACGTTCACAGTGCACAGTACCGGGTAGTACAAGACACTTGCTACTTCAAGTGGTAGTTTCGAGAAATTCGGTACTGCGTTCAAACATACTACCACTAGCAAAACATGTACTCCAACTTGTAGTCGTTGCGGCTGACATCTGGGCGAGTCGGCAGCGCCATCCATGACTCCCATTTTGCTCCATTCCTTCACCCACGCTCCTAGGACAGATCTTGATGGCTTAAGACACAATGAATCAGAGACGTTCACAAGCTACACCAGAGTGAATGAATCAAATGTTCGTGCAGTTTAGAATTAGGGAATCACAGGAAGAAATCGGGGAGAGATACTTGTGAATCAGAACACAAGGGAATTGACTTAACGCTAGCCTTACAATAGCGAGCGACGACAGTGCATCACTTATACGTTTCATCTATTTCGCAACTTCAAAGTCAACAAGTCAGGAGTCGACATAAATGACCTCCTGTTACAACCCGGCCATCCCTCGACTACCAGTAGTTGGTGCCAACCCAGCAAGAAAGAAGTTGCTTACTCTTTCCAACTTCAATGTTCCCTCGGCATGAGCATTGAACTTTGAAGGATTCTCCCCTCTACACAAAACCAACTCGCCATGGTCATTAAGTCATTTCACTTGTCCCCAACAACCCCATCAACATGAAAGTCATCGTTGGATTGACTGCTACCTTTGCCGCCCTATCGTCAGTTGCTACCGCTGGCCGTGTCCTTCGAGGGGCCAGCCCCCCTGAACACCATCAGGTGGCCACAACCATCGCCCCCCTTGTGTTCGACTACCAAGAGCACAACGGCCAAGTGGATGTCCGCCGTCTCGAGGCT